CCGCCAACACACCCTTAGCTTCGATTACCTCCACTCCTAGCGCCTTGAGGGAATTTTCAAGGTTACCCTTGACTTTATTCGCCAAATTTGCCGCGTGCGCTGCCACCGAGGCGCGGTCGTATGTAATATCGCCCTCTACAGAGATACCCAAGGCCTTCAAATGGTGCGCATCTTTCATTTCTCGCACTCGTCCCGACGCTGCCAAAAGTGCTTTGGACGGCACACACCCTCGATTAACACATGTCCCCCCCACGTCCCTGCCCGAGAAAACCGCTGTTTTGAGACCCTCTGAACGCGCATGCAGGGCCGCTCCGTGTCCTCCTACCCCGCACCCAACAATAATGACGTCATAATCAAACTGCTCTCCCATGAAGAGCGCGCCTTGTCGGTGACTGACATCCCCGGATACTTCTCGTACGCGTTGTGCCGTCGCGACATGCGCAGGGACGAAGCCTCTAGTCGCTGACATCAGGTGGGGCATGGGTTTGGGGCAAAAGAAAGCCGTAGCCCCCGTGATGGCCAGAAAAAGACAGGTCGACGACAACCGCATCGTTGCTGTGGTGTGACTGGAAGAGAATGAGACAGGAAGAAAAATTACGACAGGGAGGCCATAGATCACCCGTCCTCAAAACCACGAGGGACAGCTCGGTGTGGGCGAGGAACTCGACGCATGTTTCTTCCATGCCGGTGCATACTGGCGTGAGCCGGCCGTACAGAGCAGGCCACCGACGTTGTTGATCAGGCCATTCCGCCTCGTCTTCTCTTTCGGAGAAGGAGGGCTGCATGCGGGAGGCAGGTATGTCCTGGCGTGTAAGGTGACAAAGCTGCCCAGCTGCAGGATGCGGGCCGAGCCGCCGTACGTATGATGAGGCGAGGCGAGGGGGTGACGAGGAAGGATCATGGGCGATGGCGAGCCGCAGGATCCGGGGACCGGAATATGGGCCAAAGGAAAAGGACCGCTTCAAACTTGTCGGTGTACCATGTGGGGGTCGAAGATTTTTCTTGGTTCCGAGGTCGTCGAATCTTAAGCTGAGGATTACTTGGATGAGACAGGACCCCAAGGGAAAGCATGACGTCCAATCCCGTGGTCCGACCCCGTCTCTGCTTCTTTTAAGACGGTCTGGTCTCACCGGCCTTGCGAGCCACAAGACAACTTCGTATGTGCTTGCTTGACACGCCTTCATGTACATTTCAAGGTTCTCCCTTATTGTCGCTTTGCTCTGTGTTATGACTCTATTGACTAAGATTAAATCCTACCGTCCATGTTATCTACCCTTCCTCTCTCACAACAGCCTCTCCCGCAGTACTTTATAATTCCATTTCTTCGAGGCTCAGCTTTGAGGCTGAGGGTTTAATAGCAACCGAAAGTGCCATGACAAGATGCCTCACTAGCAGCCACAAATTCCCTGGTTGACCTCTATAACATCCCTCATTCGACCTGGAGGCGCTGTATCTGTCCGTAGTCGCCTCCTTTCGGCCCAACACATTGTCAACATTTTTTTGAGCACAATCCCTACTCCCCCTCCCTGGGATTGATTCTTCAGTATGGATGCTGGCAGGATGTTGGCGCCTTCGATGCCCCCAGAGGGCGTCGAGATATTGGAAGATCGCCACCCAAAACTACACGGTAATCCTTTTCATCTTCGTTGTGGGCGTTCCCTTCTAATAAAAAGTCAATAATGTCCCACAGCTGTCGCCTCTCTATAATTTCCGATATCTTACAACCTTTCTCCTGCACCAACCATCGCATTATGGTAACTCGACGATGTCGCGAAGCCACGCCTAAAACACTGTCCCCTCGATGCGTCAGAAGCGGCGATGCGCCATCTGCCGTCTCATACAATGGACAGCCAAGTTCATTAACAAGCCATCGAAGAAGATCAAGATTGCCGCCCTCAGCTGCACAGTGAACTGGATACTCCCGCACCGACTCGATGATGAAAGGCATCCAGATATTCAAATTTCCACTCGCAAAAAGTTCCAATGCTCGAATGCGGTCTCCTTCTTTCAAGGCACGACGGAAATTCCACGCAAGGTGATTACATGCATCACATACGCGGACTGTACTTTCATTGTTATGGTAGGTGGAGGGAAGCATGCCGCGGGGCCACCGGGACTTCGAACATTTTGGACAAACGAGCTGCCCGCAGTTTCTGCAATGCAATGGCGACCTGTACATTTTTTTCCGATACTCTAGACACATGTAACAGATGGATTCCTTAAGGGGCTCCGCCCATACGGGGGGGGCATGATTGCAACATGCAGCCAGTGCTCCTTGCTCTGTACTGTAGAACCCCATAGTGATATAGCCCGGCCGGGTACCTTGCGGGTCTGTCCAGAGACCTCTCACAAAAGGTTGCACCAAAGACACTGTTGCTTGCCAGGCGCCATTTTCACGCTGTCTGACGTGGTAATTCAGGTATTGACGGGGTACTGGGCGAATAGTGCCGAACCTGGCGCCATTGGAAGTTGAGGGCTTGCCTTTGGATGCTTCCTGCCCCGAAAGGGTCGATGACAAATCAGAAGAAAATGAAGTGCCCGTTTTTCTTCTAAGATATTGGCTTGCTAAATTTATTACTCGGGTGGTTGACCGTATCTTCTCTCGATCCGACAAGGTTGCCTGCATGCGTGCCCCACTGGTAGAAAGGACCTTTCCCAAAGTCTGTGTATTGCTGCGGACGTGAGACACGCGTTGTGGTGGCGAGTGGGAGTGTCTATAGAAAGACTTTAAATATGTAATATCTGTCGATGCTGGCGGTGCTGACGGAGGCGGAAAACTACATGGACGGCAAGCAGTAGGGGAGGAGGCTAGGGAGCTAAGGGGAGGCACCGGATGCGGTTTCTTAGAGCTTCTGTGGAAGTCTGTCAATGGCATGGAGTTTGCCGTTTGTGCTTTGAAGAAGCGGATGTTTATAAAAGTGGACTTAGATTTTAAACGAGTGTGAAATGCTTTGATGAGTATAACCTGTGCATGCGTCTTCCGTTGGCCAACTTCTGCCCAAGTTCAACGGTAGTTCAAAATTTTGAAATAAGTCGCCTTCTTGTCGGACCCCAACAAAAAGGAGAGATCAAAGACCCCTTCTCTGATTTCGATTTCGCTGAGCAGATGCACTGAATGCATATACTGCTGTGAGCTTACATTTGTTAAACATTGAGCAAGTGTAGCCTGGGGTGTGATTGGAATGTAGGGGTGGATTAGGGAAAATCCTTCCCAACATGCGCTTGGTGTGTGCTCGCCCTCATTTCACGATAGACAAAAAGGTCTTCGACATGCATGACATGGCACGCAGCTCATGATTTATGCGTGTTATATATGTACAAATTGTAAAAAAATGTCGTTAGGATTTAAACGTCTTGACTGCGTCCGTGAAAAGTTGTGGAAAAATGCCACCATATTCAATATAGAGGTAATTACTGGTCCGGTTCGTGGGTGACGGTGCCTCAAGCTGCATGCATGCGTTGTTGCGCATTAGAATCGAAGGTCTCCACCGTGTCGCTCTTCGAAGCATCAAAACTATTAAACTCCGACACTCCGAAAGTAGGAGTGCGGATGTGGCGCCCTCTTCTCATGTAAAAATCTTTATTTGCAATAGTTTGCCCACATATCCACATGTCCCGTACGACCCACAAGCACGACCAATATAAACATTAGGGTCTGCCGACCTCGGACCAAGAAGCAGCGTAGCTCAGAGGAAGAGTGTAGGGCCCATAACCCTAATGTCGTACGATCGAAACGTACCGCTGCTACTTTTGACTGCCGTTTTTTTAGAAAAGGGCCCATATAGCACATTGCCCAGGAAATTAACATCGGAACCAACACATTATTGATGCCATGTGAGAACCTACATTTTTCAGCTTACTTTCCTTCCCCCAATTCTTTTCCAATTTTTTCCTCAACCTTTTGACTATATTTCTTCGTGACGTCCGACTTCACATTAGGCCTCCACGTTTGTCGCAGGGCAGTGTATCCTCGCTTTGCACCGTCTTCCAAATCGATTCCTTCCATCGATGGTGCTTCCGGTACACTCAAACCACATCGTGCAGCTGCCAACTTCACGAGTTCTCGTTGTGGAGCCCGCTCTCCGCTCAAAACTAAGGCGATGTCCTATTGTGATATGAGGAAAGCTCCATGAAAAAAATGATGTGCATGCCCCAATATGATCCTATTCATGTAGCACCTTTTGCCTATCCAACTTTTTCAGCATAAGTGCATAATCATTTGCTTGCTGACGGCGTGCCTTCGAAGCTTCGTTATCGGAAGATTGATGCCCTTCAAGAAACTGAAGAAGAAAAGGACGGTTGTCGTGTTAATCAACGATTTTGCGGCAGAACCATATCTTTCCTACATGGCTTTGTTGAATACCTTTTCCCGAATGACAGCTTGAAACTGGCTGCTGGGCTGTGCAGCCGTTGGCCATTGCTTTAAATTCTTAAGTATCGAGCGCACGTCGCCCAGTACCTGTCATGGCGTTCAACCGTGACCAACATTATTCAGATTGCCGTATAAATGTCCAATTTCGGCCAAAAAACACATTTCCCTACCCGCTTGTCACGTAACGCTGCGGCAGGGGACGGAGGCATCAGTCCGAGGGCAACCTATCTCGAGACACGTGTGATAGATGATGACCTTCTGCTGCCTGTTGCAAGCCAGGCGTCAGCGGACCCTTGTGTATTTTCGCCTATTTACATTTATTGGAAATCAGTTACTTAAACATTCAGAGACTGATCACTACCTGTGTATGAAACAAACATTAGAGGACATGTTGGGCGGGGGGACGTGTGACTATCACGGTGGTTTGCAGGGACCCAGGCCGCGTCGCATCCGACCGCGACCCGCCGCGTTTCGCGCATTTTTTCCTCATCTTGGCCCCGGCCCGTGGCCACCGCCTGCTTCGGATGTGATGATGACCCCCCGTACTTCATCTTCCATGACGCTTTGAGCCGAATCCTTGGCACTAAACTCAGTGTATTATCACGTCCCTTAATCCCATGATATATTTAGTATGTCACGGTCGCGGTCCTGTTCCGAAGCTTCTGCGGCCTCTTCGTCATCGGCAGCAGCAGCGTCTTCGACTCACGCCCCTTCTTCGCGCGGAGGTAACCTAGAAGATGTTACAACGAAGTCCGAGCACGACGAAAATAGGCAGCGATATGATTCCGCATTGCCCTCTCCATCCCATCCAGCTTCGGTGGCCGACGGTGCTGCAAGGGAGCGAGAAGATAATGGCAAACGCCTGAGGTCACCGAGCCCTGCCGGTGGTGAAGCTTCTGGTTCCGAGGAAGCGGAAGAGGATGATGAGCCCGCCAAATTGCATGTTTCTGGTCTAACAAGAAACGTGACAGAGGAGCATCTCAACGAGATATTCGCCACATTTGGGAAGCTGTCGCGTGTGGAACTGGTACTTGACCGACGAGTGGGCTTATCGCGGGGCTTCGCCTATGTTGAGTACGATCATCGGAAGGACGCTGAGGAAGCCCAGCTGTACATGGACGGTGGTCAGCTTGACGGCGCACCTTTGAAAGTGAACTTTGTGCTTTTGGGTGGACGGCCTGGTGGTGCAGGCGGTTTCAGCGAGACTGGTCCGAAGGGTGGCATTCGGCGTTCCCGCTCTCCGAACAGGCGGAGCCGCAGCCGATCTCCTGTATCCCGTGGCGGTGGTCGAGAAAGGGACCTTTACGATCGTAATGGCGGTCCGCCGGAGAGGAGGGGCGGGGGAGCTCAATGGGAGGGGCGGCGGGGCCGGTCTCGTTCTCCGCCTCGGGGGGGTCGACACGACCGAGGTCGGTTGCCGCCAGGGCGGTTTACTCGAGGAGAGCGCGGACGCAGCCCCCCCTACCGTCGCCAGCCAGACCCTCGCGGCTGGTCGCCGCCACGGCGCGGGCCGGGTGGGCGGGCATCTCCGCCTCGGGGTGGGCGGTACCGCTCTCGCTCGCCCCCTCCGCGCCGCCGGCCCGGCTCACCCTCGCGCTCCCCGCCACGGCGACGGGGCATGCGGCGGTCGCGCTCCTCCTCTGTCTCCAGTCGTAGTACTCGATCCTCGTCGTCCTCCTCCTCCTCCTCCGCGTCCTCCCGATCCAGCCGCGGTCGCAGCCGGAGCAGCCGCTCCTCACGCAGCCGTTCCTAGATGGAGGGGGCGGCGCCAACAGGGAAGGCAAGCAGGAGTCTCACCCGCCGCTTGAGGCTTGAATTTTGCTTGCATGAGGGAGGGAGGACGCACGAGGGGGGAGGGTAAAAGGGAGGATTGAAGTAAACGACAAGTGGCTGCGGACACCGATGTGAGACGCGAGTTCGACTTTCTCGCCTCTTCGCTTTGCCTTTGTTCTTCCTTTCACCTCCATTTTGCTCGCAACGCATTGAGAATCTTCTCCATCCCACTCTTCTTCCATCATCCCGCTCAATCCCCCTTCCTCCTCCAGAGAGCTCTGGCCTCCTGTTCGAGAGGGCTGCAGGCTTTCTCAGGAGGGCAGGCCCCCCTCTTACACGAGAGGGTTGTAGCCCCGTCGCCCCGGCACGAAAACCAAACCCTCCTCCTCATCCTCCTCCTCGCACTCCTGGTCCTCTCTTTTCTCTCGACGCTGCCCCTCTCCCCGCCCTCCTGCAAATCCCCCGCCCTCCTCATCAGTCCACAGGTGCTCGATCCGCTCAAGCGTCTTGCTCGCCGACGCGCGCTTGTCCATCATCATGCCCTCCACCAAATCCAAGAGCGTCTTCATGCGCTCGAACTCGGCCTCCACCCACCCCGCCTCCTGCATCAGCTCGGCCACAGGCAGCACCACCGCCCAGGACCCGGCAGCGTTCCTCCTCGGACGCGGCCCGCCCGGCCCCCCCTCGCGCGCCCGTTGCCCCCGCCGAGAGCGCGCCCCGCCAGTGGCGAAGCCTTTCAAGCGCCGCGCGATGCGACGGAGGAGGCAGTACTTGTAGTGGGTCATCCGTGAGTAGCACAGGGACTTGTACTGGCACGTGGATCCCGCGTCCCACCAGCCGTTGCTCCTCCCTTCTCTCACCCCCTCCTCCTCCTCCTCCTTCTCCTCTTCCCGCCTTCTCGCCTCCTCCTCCTCCCACTTCTCCTCCCTCTGCCTCTCCTCCTCCGCCTCCTCCGGCGTGCCCAGCGCCTCGACCGAGCAGGGCAAGGCCGACTCCCAGTTCCGGCTCTCCCACAGCACACGACTGTCGTAGCGCGGCCCCGAGAGCAGCACCTGGAAAGCACACGGGTGGCGGCGGCGCCCGCAGATCATGCACCGGTCCGGGCGCTCACCTATGGCCTCCAGCCACTGGAACCGGGGCCGCGAGCGCAGCTCCTCCACCCACAGCGGCCTCCACTGCATCGAGCCCAGCAACGACTCCCGCCGTGTGCACAGCTGGTCTTCTAGAAACTTCTTGGCATTGCTGAAGCGCCCATAGACCTGACCCGTCGGATGTCGCCGCATGCCCGACCGGAAGCCCGGGTCTGCCAGACTGCGGGCGAGCATTTCCACGTAAAGGGCGAAGGCCTCCCTCAGACTCATCTTCCGACGCGTCATGAAGAGCGGCATGCGCTCCTCCTCCTCCAGGGCCATCTTAGCGTAGGCACGCATGTGTATCAGCGTCTCGTCAACGCTGGACTCAGAATCGTCCTCCTCCTCCTCTTCTTCTTCTTCTTCTTCCTCCTCCTTCTCCTCCTCTTCCTCCTCCTCCTTCTCCTCCTCCTCCTCCTCCTCCTCCTCCTTCTCCTCCTCACCCCTCGCGCCGTTCCGATCGCCGCCTTTGTACTCGCCTGGTGCCTCGTTGTCCTCATCGTCGCTGTCGAGAACGATTTTCCGACGATGCGCCGTCTCTGATGCATGGACCTTGATCGGCGCCGCTTCCCTTCCCGCTCTCCCCTCCTCTCTGCCATGCTCCTTGTTGACAGGCTGCCTTTGCCCCTTCGCTCTAGGCGGAGCTCTGTCCCTCTTCGTTTGCGTCTGCTTCACAGAAGACCGGCTTTCCTTTTCATCCATCATTTCTACATAGTCATCGTCCACAATGAAATCACTCATGTCGCCCCTGTACCTACCCTCCTCCTCCTCCTCCTCCTCCTCGTCGTCCATGCTCTTTCGTTTCCGACGCGACCTGGATGAGAGGTCCTTTTTCATAATATCCTTGATACTTTTTGTCCTACGGCTTTTCAATACCCCCCCTTTTCTTCTCTTGTCGCGCCTATGCTGATCCCACTCGTCGTCCTCCTCATAGTCATCTGGTACGATAAAATCATCCAGGTCCTCGCTTCCCTCTTCATCTTCCGATACTCGTCCATCTTTGCTGAGAGAAGAGGCACGGCGCCCCTTTGTAGCCGATAAAGAGCGATTGAAACGCCCGACAATGTGTTTTGTACCTTTTCTTTCCTCCTCTATGTGTCCCTCCTCTTCGTCTTCTTCCTCCTCGTCATCAAGTAGGACCCGTCGGCGACGCGAAGACCCTGAAGAGGAGCAAGAGAATGAGGAAATGTCCCCGCTTTGAACCACCTTAGACTGCGTCCTGGGTTCACAGCATGCGTCCAATTCTGAGCCGTCCTGTTCATGGCAGACAGATGAGGAAGCCTTACGACCCCACTCATTTTTTATCGTTCGGGACTTGCTTTCCTCACCCGCAGCGATTAAAGTGATGCCAGGTGTTGTACTTTCACTGAGACGATTACGCACGCGCTTCACGACAATCTCCTCCTCGTCTTCCTCATCATCGGAGAAAGTCTCATCCTTGCGTGCTCGAAAGGGCATGTCTGCGTTCCACGCAGCTATGGAATGCCTGAATTTTACTCCTGGAAAGTGGGCTACCTCTGTGAAGCTTCCCGTGATGAAACGTGAATATTATTAACCAGTTGACGAGGCAGTGGTCATCGTTGTGACACGGACAGAGACGCAATATCAGCCCTTTTCAACCTCCCCACCCCCTCGACCTCCCGCCTGCGGCCATCGGTTACAGCCCCGCGAGCGCTTTGTCCTTAAATCGGTAGTTTCAGGCTATCACAAGCTCGGATAAAGATACCTAGCGCACTCCACAATCCACCAAAATCACAGGGATTGTTATCACTCCCCCGAGGCCTCCCCTCCAGTTTATGGAAACCTTCACCTCCCTACCTGAGGCCCTGCACCCCCCTGCACCTGTCCCTCCCCCTCCTGCTGACAATGAGCCGTACACGAACCAGGAGGACTTCTCTATCGGAATGTACGAGCTGCATAGAGCGTACTCTGCGTTCTCGGCCGCGACAGGGCCGTCAGCCTCTCGACCATTGCTCGCGGAATGTGTAAGCCTGGCCGTCCGGCTTGCATGGTCGTTGGAGGCGGCAGAGGCGGAGTACGCTAACACTCCAGGTCGATTGCCGTATGTAAACCAGCGACAAGAGTTTCTGATAGGAAGCTTGTTGTCTGATTTAATGGACTCGGACGAAGTTCCCGAGGAGGTGGTGGTAGGCTTGCTTTTGTCGGCAGACTTAGAGGCTCAGACGGCGGCGGCCCGGCTCTTGGTGGCCTCGGCGCCGCTGTATTCTGACAAAATACCCCCACCTATCTATCATGCCTTACGTGAGGAGTCAGCTTTTGAACGGCTGATAGAGTGGGTGAGTGTGCTTCCTGCTGAGGAGGGAGCTGCGGACCCTTGTCGGCAAGCCCTCTTGGCCTTCGCCACCGGACTCCTGGCTGTGCTCCTGCTGGACCGTGACGTGGCCGACTACGTGGTGCGCACATCCGTCCCCACAGCGCTGCTCCAGCACTTGCACACTGCGCCGCAGAGCTTCGATGGAGAAGGGTCTCAAGCCCGCCTGCCCGCCTTCTTGCGCGGCCTCTCCCCCCAAGAGATGTCCCGGCGGGCGGTTTTGTACAGGCTGAGCTGCCTGACCGCCATGGGCGAATACCAGGAGATCCTTGCGCCTTTTTTCCAAGAGAAGGGTGTGGGCATAGTTCTCCGAGGCCTTGAACGTGGCGAGCCGGGCTGCCTCCTGGCCGCCATCGAGCTCACGTCCCGACTGCTGGCGCACAAGAAGTTCGCCATGACCTTCGTCCAGGAGGCGGCGGGGGTTGAGCACTTGATCACCCTTAGCGAGGGCCCGCAGGCCTTTCAGCTACACGCGGCTTTGGCCATGTGTCTGTTCGGATTGGCCTCTCTTGCAAACGTGATGGAGGAGGTCTGCCGCCTGCCCCCAGAGACCTTCCGCCGCCTCATCTCCTACGCCATCAGCCTTCTCCAGTGCCCGCAGGAGGCTGTGCAGAAGAGCATCGTCCTCTTCTTCGGAATGGCTTTGGCCTTCCGCCCTGTGCTACACGCCTTTGACGCCAGCAGCGGCGATCAGGCGCCCCCCTCCCCGAGCGCCTGCAGTGGTCTCTACTCCCTCCTAAACCTGCTCCGGTCCGGCGCCTCCAGCGCAGGGCCCGCCAACTCTTTCAACGCCGTGCACGGCACGCAACGCCGTGGTCAGCTCGCCCACTACACGACCCTATGCCTTCGCCACTACCTGCGCGTGCATTTAGCCATCATGGCGGCCTCCGCAGAGGCCGAGGCCCCTCCTCCCGCCCCGGGGAAACGACCTCGTCTCAACTCCCAGGACATGATCGCCGCGTCCGTCGTGCCTCCCTCCTCCTTCCGGCCTGTAGAGATCGATGAGGGCGCCACGGAGACCTTACTCGCGCGGGTCCGCTCCGGTGCCCTCCACCTCCCGCCCGGCTGGGCCCCGCTGCGGAGGCTCCTACACCACCGCGGCCTCCTCATCCTTCTGAACGTGGTAGCTTGCTCCTCAACCGGGCGTGTGGGGGCCGCTGAGACCGCAAAATTCGCACTGGACTGCCTGGAGATGGCCACCTTGTCGCCCGTCGCGATCTTCGAGGCCTGTCTTGTGCCCGTGCCCGAACAGGAGCGGACAGGGATGCAGATCCTTCTGGAGACCGCGTCCGGCCAGGCCCAGCGGGACGCCGAGGTCATGCGCGGGGCCCTGCGCGTTCTTTGCAATTGTCTCTGTCCTCGGCCCGCGTCATTACAGCCTCCCCATGCGTTGTCTGTGGCGCCAGACGGGCTCGGAGAGGCTTTCCCTGGAGAAACCCAGGAGAGGCCGACAGGCTCGGCAGGGACCGCGCCCGCGCCCGCCCAGGACCTCGCTCTCGACCCGACCGAGGAAAAGACTCGCTGCGCGGTGCGACGGGATCTGCGCTCCAAAGATGGGATCAAGGTCCTGGTCTCCCTCCTCCGCTACCGCCGCTGCATACAGGCGGCCGACGAGATCCGTATGCTCGCCGCCCGGGCGCTGCTGGGCTTGGCGCAGGAGCC